GTTCTCCAGTCCACATGTCTACTGACATGGCTTCTTTCATTCTGGAGGAATGCTAAAGAAAAAGGATATAGGTTAGGTCAATAACTCTCAGAATTCGTCCCTGCTCTGTTCTAAACAATACAAAGTGTCACGAACAACCACGATGCACTCAGCTGTCTGACTCACTTACTGGATGGAGGCCACATCCAACTCCCTCAGCAGCTGGGGCCTAGTACATGGAGAGACGTTAAGGAGAAGTTTCAAAACAAGAACAGACCAGGCATGCAAGCCAAAGCAGGGGAGGTTTCCTGAAGCCATCTCAGCCAGTGGACTTGCTATTAGATGTAGACCTGCATTGTTAATTTTCTGAACTGGTAAAATCTAGTGATCCCATTTGCACAGACTGGAAGAATGATTTTGCAGTAATCCAGTATTCTGCAAGTACAAATGAGGAAGGAAGTTCGTCATACGGTTATGATGAAGAAGCAGTTGAAGACATGCAGATGGACGGCTCTCGTTCGCAGTTGCGTGACGTAATATAACAGCCAATCCTCCAATCCTAAACAAACACCCATGGAAATATTTCCAATCAAGCATGCTTAGAACAAAAAAAATGTTATTCCGTCTCCCAGCATCAAAGCAGGCACACTGGCTTCAGTAAGATTTTCCCCAAATTAAATCGTTTAAACATTACAGTTCTATAACACATAATTTTTGCAAATGGCGGGGGTTTTGTTCCCACTGAATATTTATGAGCCGACAGCAAATTTGAAATCATATTAAAACAATCTGTAAGGATCTCTTTTCCCTTTAACCAAAGTTTAGGATGAGCCTTACATTTTAAGAACTTTGGTATCTCACAGAGTTTGTATTAAAAGGACACCTTGCAAACCAAGATGGGTAGCTGTGTTAAGCAGGGCTCCTTTTGTAGAAAAAGCCCAGCAGGACCTCATTAGCATAACAGGCCACACCCAACAGCAGAAACTCATTAGCATATTAGGCCACACCCCTGACAGCACAGCTCATTAGCACATTAGGCCGCACCCCCATGTTACCAGAAGTGTGGTTATCCAGCCACACCCACCTTTTGCTTCTTATTCTGTTTACCTTGTTTGTTGTCAAAACCCAGGGCCTTTTTTTGTAGCAGGAACTCCTTTGCATGTTAGGCCACACACCCCTAATGTAGCCAATCCTAATGAGTTTCTGCTGTTGGGTGTGGCCTATTATGCTAATGAGTTCCTGCTGGGTGTGGCCAACTTGGGAGCCAGCCGGAACTCCGTTCCTATGCGTTCCTGCCCAAAAATAGCCCTGGTGTTAAGTCTGTCTGTAGCAGCAGAAAAGAGCAAGAGTCCAGTAGCACCTTGAAGACTAACAAGATATGTGGCAGGGGAGGAGCTTGCGTGAGTCCCTGCTCACTTCTTCAGATTCGTCAGATTCACTTCCCATTCTAGCTTTATCTGAAGAAGTGAGCAGTGACTCACAAAAGCTCACCCCCTGCCACATATCTTGTTAGTCTGTGCTACTGGACTCTTGGACCAATTTCACACAAGAGCTGCACCGCGGTCGCACCTCCCTTGGCCCCGTTTCTATGGGTCAATTTCCCACTCGAAGCTGCGCGGCCGCATATTGACCCGTGGCTTTGCCCGATTTTCCCCGTGGTTTCGTGTTCTTGTTTTTTGAGGATCACGAAACCGCGGGGGAAATCTGGCGAAGCCGCGGGTCAAAATGCGGCCGCGCAGCTTCGAGTGGGAATTGACCAATAGAAGCAGGGCAAAGGGAGGCGCGACCACGGCGCAGCTCTTGCGTGAAATCGGTCTTGCTCTTTCCTGCTTTGTAAACCGTTGGTGAGTATCCCAAAGCTGCCTTTGCATGAGGCACTACTTTATCTTTCAACTGCACCTTCTCCCACTGTTTCAGAAGTCACATTGAAGGCTCCCCTGACTTTCTGAATGAACTGTTTGGGGGGGGGGGGGAGTTACAGTAGAAAAAGGGGCCCACGTAGGCCTGAGTGTCTGGATGCCCCTGGCATAACCCTATAGCATAACCTCCCAGATTTAACAGATGAAAACAGGGATGCTCTGTACTCAAACTAAAGATTGCTGAATTGCCAAAGACCAACTCTCATCCACCCTCTTTGTTATACATCCCCACTGGTTATCTTGCACAGGTAAACCAGCCATAACACTTTTCTTTAAAAACAAACAAACAGTCTTCAGCAACTACTTTGAGAACCCTGGGAGCCCAGCACAGAAATACATTAAATAATAAGTAAATGTTTATTCTCACAATGGATCTGAGAACTGTTACTACAGAACACCTGCACATTCCATAATCTTTGCTCTTCGAATAGGTATCCCCCCCCCCAATACCTTCAAAGATTTAACCTCCAGAGATTCAGACCTCAAGAGTAGCAAAACAAAAGCTGTAAATGGTATCCTCCCCTCCCAAAAAAATAAATAAATTAGGACAAAACCAGGACAATTATTGGCGAGGGCAGAGAGCAGAAAGCAAGGATCTTCCCTGATAAGTAGGGACACTTGAAATCTAAGCTTTGTATCCCAGCTTTATTCAAGAGGAAAGTCACACAAGATTCATAGCTGGGGTTGCCAGTTCTGGGTTGGGAAGTACTTGGAGATTTTGGGGGTGGAGCCTGGAGAGGTCAGAGTTTGGGGAGAGGAGGAACCTCCCTCGGCAGGGTAAAATGCCATGGAGTCTACCCTCCAAAGCAGCCATTTTCTCCAAGGGAACCGATCTCTATAGTTTGGAGATCAGGAGCAAAAGTGGGAGAGCTCCAGGCCCCATCTGGAGGTTGACAACCCTATTTATAGCATTCCTCTACAACGCATATTCTGTTTCAACGCCTACTGGCTTGATTCCGGTACAGGTTCCAGTCTGTACATTGGCTGTCTTCCAGCAAGCAAGAATACTTTACTTCATAACATTCCTTACACCCCAGAAATGATATCTAGTGATTTCTTTGTTTCTTGATTTAAGAAAGATATTTTACTTGTGTTTCAATTCATACACAAAAAAACTGGTTAACTAACAGTGGCTTGAAAATATTGACACTACTCCACTTTTCCACAAGCATACAAAAAAGAAAATAATAATAATAATAGTAATAATAATGGGTTTACATTCAACAGGAAAGCTCAATGACCACGCTAAGTAATAGTTGCATTGACATTCACATACACAAGCACGGAATAAATATTTCAGGATTCTTATAAGGGCATATAGCATACATACAGTACTTGAATTTTACATAATGAGTGTTAGTTGTAAGGTTAGAAATGCATAACTTATAGAGAAATAAAATGAAAACCCTAGGGCGTCATGTGGGAGAGAGTCACACCAAGACACGGCACAGAGCTAACAGGTAAGCCGATCCGCTCGTGTGAGAAAAGGGGTTAGCTTCAGTTTCCGCTCAGGGAAACTCGGTTGCAAAATGCTGTGTACTCAAAGTGCAGAGTAAGGAATGCAAAAAGAGAGAGAGAGAGAAATCATGGTATTTCTGAATGCATGCAAGAGGCAGCCCCACCCCCACCCAGTGATCTGACAGAATAAAGCTGTGATTGGCAGATATAATACAGATGTTTCAGGCAGATTTTTTCTAAAGCACTTCATTAGCAGCAATTATATTTTCTAATGGCTGTAAAATTTACTTCTGTTTGGGTTAAAGGACATCTTTATTTCTTCTTCATTTACATTTATATTCCCTTTATAAATAAAGATATCAAATCACAAATAGCATAGATAAGGTTTCTTTCTTTTTTTTCCTTTTTCCTTTTTTTGGTTTTTTTCCCCCTTTTCCTTTTTTCATCCTCACTTTTGCATATGTGTTGTGGAAAATACTCTGACCTTTTCAGAGACATTATGTGCAAAAGAATGTTCAATAGAGTGGAAACAAGGACATAAAGGAAACATCACAGTCAGTTACATTCCTGAGATGTCAGCCCTTCTTTCCCTTGTTCAACTCTGAGGGCGTGTCTGCGCGGTGGTTCCAAAAGGCATCAGACGTCCCCTGGATGGACATCCAACTCCCCGTGGTACGCGCATGCCAGGGTCCGTGGGACCAGTGCTGTCTACACAGCTAAATACAAGACGTGAGCAAGGGAAAACCCACCTCCCTAAGTTCCTGTTGGCGTGGGGGCGGTGGTTGTTTTAAGAGAGAGAGAGAGAAAGAGAGAGAGAGAGAGAGAAATGGCCCACACTTTCTGTCTGAGCATTAAAATGCCAAGCCAAGAGCGTGGGCGGTTGCCATGCAGACGTTCCCTGAGGGACATCCTTGCTAGGAGAACAAAGGCCTTATTGTGGCGATATGGCCAATGGCTTGGAAGAAGATATACTTCGTGGTATCTGTTTAAGAGTTATCTGAGCCTTCCTTTTTGCTGGAGTTGTGTATATAAAATATATAAAAGCTCCAGCATTCTACGCACTAAGTCTTATGGATTATGAAAAGTCTAATTCCAAACTTTAAACTGGTTCCCCAGGCCGCACACCATATCCACAAGGAACCTCCTCTGTTCATGTTTTACATGCTCTTCGTGTGTCATCTGAAAGTGATCTTGCGTCACCTAGCCAATAATCAGCACACAAATGTTTCCGGTCAGATACAGGGTGCACAATACCAAAAAATGTTTAAGCTCCCCCACCCCGCCCCATAAGTGTTATCAAAGACAGGATCACAGGAACCACAATGCAAAGAGTCCAACCTCTCACTGGCTGTATTGTGAAGAGTCTCCTTTTCGACGTAGGAGAAAAGAAACTTGTGTCTGCTTTTTAGATTCTGAAAACAAGCCAGAGTGGAGAAAAAGTGTTAACACCAGGCTTAATAAAGCTTTCAAGACAAAAACCTGTTAAGCAATCTAGACAGACATTGTGAATTCCCTGCGGATCGTTTTTTGAAGTCTTGCACATACAGGAAACTGGTTAACAGGAGGAAGAAGTTGGGAGTTGCTACAGAGATCTTCCATGATTACAAAAAAATTGGCTAAGTAGATTGTTCCGTATAAACCCCTCTACTGGTCACTGTTGTCAGTGGTGCTGTGGCCCTTTTCTTTTTTCTCCTGAGCCTTGTTGCCCTTCTTCTTTTTCTTCTTTTTCTTGGTCTCCTCCTTCTTGCCAAAGGTTATGAAGTCACTTTTGTCAGTTTGGCTGTTTGGTGGATCCTGACGGATGGAGATGATGGCAGGAGATCCTGGGATAATGAATTTGTCTGGCAACTCACCGGGACCCGGCGGCTTGGGGTTGCCAGGCCCGTATTTAAAGGTCCAGCTGTTGCTGTTCACTCCAGCTCCCACTGGGGGGGACACCTCACCAGCCTCGGGTTCTAGGAGGGAAAAACAAACAAATCAAAAATTAAAGCCCCGGGATGTAAGGATTGCCCATCGTCAACCAGGAGCGCCATGCCAGATTAAGCCATGATGGTGCACAAATTCCTCCCCAAATGGGATCTGTATTCTGCAATATGAAGAGAACCACTGTATTGCCAAGCACTGTTTCCAAACCCCAGGGAAATAAAAGCCATGGCACTAACGGATGCTAGATCTGACACGATTCAGAGATCACAACATTTCACAGAATGAAATGGCTAGAAACGTTTTGTGGTAAAGTCAGATCTACAGGGTGTTTTACCTAGATAAGCAAGTACCAGACCCAACATGGCTCACATTACCAGAACTCATTGGGGAGACTTCTCCTCTTCCAGTCCTTTCCCCAGACATAAGACACCTTTTCCCAATCAGTTTCTTTCTCTGCTGGCATAGAGCTAGAAAGGAGTGAATTGCAGGTTCCTTGTCTTTTATTTATTTATTTTTAATTAATGTTATTAAAAGATAAGTCAAGTATACATAAACAAACCCATTATATCTCAAGATTACTGTATAAACATTAATACAAACTGTAAGTGCAGATTCATATATCACAATGCCATCTATTAACTTGTCAGCAGGATCTTCTTATGACCATATCCTTGTCACTTTCTTGTGATTTTCCAATTATTCTAAGATTGCTTTAAAGTAACGTATAATAATTCCAGATATATTTTAGAAGGACCTCAATAGTATTTTATGAGAGTGCTCAGACCATAAAAAATTCTCATAGATGTAGCCATTCCGCATAGCCAGTATGTGCTGGTAATACATCGTTTTCTGTGAAATATGTTATGAGAGGCAGGGGTCATTTCCTGCAGGAGCGCACAGGAGCGAAGCTCCGGCAGTAAAGAGCCCAGGGGGCGGGCACATGCAACAAGCCCCACCCCCTGCTCCCAGCAGTCCTCAGTCAGAGCAAGAAGCAGCCAGGTAAGCTGCAGAGCCCCCACCCGTGGAGCCTGAGCGGTGGGTGTTGCCTTCTGACACACTTCCGGTGATGTCAGGGGGTGTGGCATATGCAAATAAGTTATGCTAATGAGTTATGCTAATGAGCTCCTGCACCTCTTTTTCTATGAAATGACCCCTGATGAGAGGACACCATTTTTGAATGAATCTGGAATGGGATCCCGCATACCCTTGTGTGTGGGACTCGTATTTATCTGCTACATTGTCCATCACAAAGTGGTCCCAACATTTATTTCTCCATTGAGCAATGGAAGGAGGATCAGGATTGTTCCATGAGGCAGCAATAGAAAGCCGTGCCGTGGCTATTAATGTGGCGGCTAGTTCGGTAATTTTTACTTCGTTTTCTTTTATGATGCTCTAGGGGTCCTTTTTCAGTATGACACCTCCCCTTTCCCCAGTTCACTTTGAGACCAACGTTAATTCCTGAGAGTCAAGAGTGCTTTGTCAATTCTCTATCCCAAAAGGGGTTTCTTCTGCCTTGCTACTTTATTCCCTAGTAGTTAGTGAGTCGATCAAATGAAGTCATTATTAGGGTGCAGAGAGACCAAATACAACCACCACCACCACCATTTGGGAAACGATTGCTTTGACTCAGCATAATAAACATTAGTGATTACAAAAGGAAACATATGGGAGCAGGTAAAATCTTATTTACTGCAAGTGAGCAAAAGAACAGGGAGGGAAGGCAACGTGGTATAGCCCGGTCTTGTCAGATCTCACTTGGATGGGAGACCACCGAGGAAGACTCTGCAGAGGAAGGCAATGGCCAACCACGTCTGCTTCTCACTTGCCTCAACAGCCCCTTACTGGGGTTGCCATAAATCCACTGCTACTTAACAACACTTTACAGAGAGAGAGAGAAAGAGAGAGAGAGAGAGAGAGAGAGAGAGAGAGAGAGATCCAGGGGTCATTTCCTGCAGGAGCGCACAGGCGCGGAGGACCGGGACTCCGGCAGTAAAGAGCCCAGGAGGCGGGCACATGCAAGAAGCCCCGCCCCCTGCTCCCAGAAGCCCTGGGCCACGAGGAGCAAGAAGCAGCCAGGTAAGTTGCAGTGGGAGTTGCCTTCTGACACACTTCCGGTGATGTCAGGGGGTGTGGCATATGCAAATAAGTTATGCTAATGAGTTATGCTAATGATCCCCTGCACCTCTTTTTCTACCAAATGACCCCTGGAGAGATCAGACATCTGAGTTTCATCATTCCCTTTTAGTGCTTGACTACGAGGTGGAGAGAAATCTCTCCATTTTTTCCTTCTTCCATTCAGCGGTGTGTCAGCGGTGTGTCCTTTATCTCCCCCCCCTCCTCCTTTCTATTCCTAATCTCACCCACCCCCTCTATGTTACATATTTATTTATTTTAAAACGTGTATGCCTTCTCTTCAGAACCTGTTTGCTCTGGGATGTCCAGGAGTTTCTAGCTCTTTGTGTACCTAGCAGCTTCCGGTGTCTTCCCACAGTGGACGTGATATTTACGTCCTTTTGCACAAAAACTCTTGATATCACAAAGTCTGCCTCTGAAACTGTGTCTTCACTGGGTAGCTGAAGTCCCCACCACTCTAACTAGAAACCAGGGGTCATTTCGTAGAAAAAGAGCTAGGGGGACTCATTAGCATAACTCATTAGCATATGCCACGCCCCCTGACATCACCGGAAGTGTGTCCTCCCCACAGCCGGCAGCGACCTCCAGCGGGCACCAGCAGGGAGCTCCAGGCCCCGCCCTCCCGCACCTCACCCGGGGGGATGGCGTCCCCCCGCGTCCCCCTCCAAATGACCCCTGCTAGAAACACACTTTCCCAACAAATGGGGCCGTTTCAAGCTAATCTCTGAGTATGAAGAAGTACAAAAATAAAACTTGCTACCAGATCGGTGAACTTCATAATGATGACTTGAGAGGTGGGGAATCATTTCACCATGACCCTTTTATCATGCTTCATCTTCATCTGGAATATTTTATATGTGAATATATATATACACAAGTGGAGACCAGCAAGGAGCTTGCAGGGCTGGGGACAGTAGTGATGGTGGGAGGGCAGAGATCCTGGGAGCTATTTTGGCAGGGGAGGCAGGCCCGGCAGTGAGGAGGCTGACAGCCACAGCAGGCCTGGTAGCAATGGAAGGCCACCTAGCTTTAGTGATGCGGGGGGGG